AAAAAAAAAAAAAAAAAAAAAAAGGACGACTCAGAGAAAGCAGATTATAGCATGACCCAAGCCCAACGATGACACTCGTAAATCGGGAAATGGTCCAAAATATTATAAAGAAATAATTAGTAAATGGAGCGATACAGAGACTACTTGAAAAATAAAAACATAAAAAAATATACCCCCCCCCCAAAAAAAAAAGGCAAAGAATTTCGATGTGACCCTGGGCCAAACTTGGGCCCGTGGGACCTCCTCCTGGGCGCGAGCCGTAGAAAAATGTGGTCAAAGAGGCCGCAGGGAACAACCTAGTTTTTTTCGGATTTTTTGGTTTTTTTTTTTCCTTCTTTTACAGGGACCTTCCCTGGCCCTTGCTTGGCCGGGCTTCCCGGGGCAAGGTCCCACTTGCACGGATTAAGAGATTTTCTGGCCGTTGATCTTTGCTATCTACGGTCAATATCGCTTAATTCGTGTAAGTGGGACCTGCAGTAGCCCCCAGGCAACCAAAATGAGATCCGGGCCACTCGGTATGTGACGCAGGGTCTCGCCGCAAGGCAGAAGAAACGAAAACGAAACGAGTGCATCTGCCCACGAAAGGTGGCAAAATACACTCGTTACTATTTATAGCAAAACGATGAACCTGGCCATTTTCTGCAGCAAGATGCACTCGTTTCGTTTTTCGTTTCGTGTCCCGTGCGGCGCCGCCCACAGAGAGGATTAATTACGGTGGCCCCTGCTCATTCAACGATGACACGCATAAACGAGAAACGGCGCAATTATACCTCTGGTTCTTTTCTTTCTTTTTTTTTAACCTTTTTTTTTCTTTTTTTTTAACCGAAACTTTAGAATCATATAATGCCTCTCTCCTCAGTGCGCGACTCTCTGAAAACATTCCCTTTTTCAAATTTTTAATTCTGAAAAAATAAAACCGCAAGAATGGCGCAATTATACCTTTTTTTTTTCTTTTTCTTTTTTTACTGAAACTTTAGACTCGTATAATGCCTCTCTCCTCAGTGCGCGACACCCTTTTTCAAAATTTTAATTCTGAAAAAATAAAACCGCAAGAATTGCGCAATTATACCTCTGTTTTTTTTTCTTTTCTTTTTTTTTTAACCGAAACTTTAGAATCATATAATGCCTCTCTCCTCAGTGCGCGACTCTTTGAAAACATTCCCTTTTTCAAAAATTTAATTCTGAAAAAATAAAACCGCAAGAATGTCGCAATTATACCTTTTTTTTTTTTTTTTTTTTTTTT